ATGGTTTGCCTTGGATACGCACTGAGATCATTCTGTCGTTTTTGAGGTTGTACCCCATTACTGCCTTTCCCACTCTCTTATTGACTACACTAGTTAACATATAACAATAACATGTTAAAATTGCACACAAAAATAAAATGAAGCAGAACAGTAAACATTTCTCTAACCTCCCAAGAACCACAGCATACGCTAAAATTGTGTTCCATTAGGTCTCATCTCCCCCACCTTCGAGTTAAAATGGACATTTAAATTCAGCCAATACCTTCCAGTGTAAGTACATGATTGCAACTACAGTCCTATACGATATTCACTTAACTAGAAGTATGACCCATCTAGTAATAGAAACCTCTGAAACTTGGGTGGATATGCCCAAATCCAGTTAAGTGAAGCTATGGTAGCTGTTGAAAGGGACACAGTATAACCATCAGTCATGTAACATTTGAATTTAAAGTCAGTATAATAGCTTAAAATCTTGTGCTTTGCCCTCAGGAGGGCATTTTATGATAGAGATGGGCAGACTTTAGGAATGGCTGGTTTTATTTACTCAGTGGCATGGAAATAGTTCTGCACACATTAAAGGAATAGCCTTTTCAAATTCTAGGGCAGTGTTTCTCAACCTTGGCAACTTTAAGATGTGTGGACTTCAACTCCCAGAATTCCCCAGCCAGCCATACTGAAGTCCACACATCTTAAAGTTGCCAAGGTTGAGAAACACTGTTCTAGGGCAATCATAACTTTAGAGCTGTTCAACAGCAAATGGCTGGTGTATCTTGGATTAAATTAAACCTGACATCTAACATGAGAATGAAAATATTTTCACTGAACTATAATGTACATATGCAATGAGCACCTGTTGCATCAGTGGATACAAAGGGAAATTGAAGAAGAATGATTTCAACGGAAAACTGCACAAAAGTGGAAGATGAAGTTTCCTTTCCTAACTTAATCTTCTCTCAGAAACAGCATCTACATACACTGATGGAACTATTATTTCTGATTAGGCTGTACTGTACATCTGCAACTTTCTACATTTGATCAATTGCAAACTGCAGGCTGGAGTTTTTCATCTCAGTCAAGAAGAAAAGGCACTATGGATTGATATTGCTGAGCAATTGCTGCCAAGCCAAATGTTAGGAGGTACCAAAATTACTCACTTGCTGACATCCACACAGTGTAAAGAAATAATGCCATGTCGGAATCCCAGAAACATTTGTTGTATGGACATGATAACTTTTTCCATAATTAATTCTGGTATATATAGCACACCAATTTTCTATGTTCATATGATACATGAAATCAGAAACTGATCATACAAGCTGTGCCCACTAAAATGTAGTACATAGGCTCTAGTGCTGTGCAACTGCCTATTTTTCTTTGTCCAGTGTTAGAGTTTGGATAATATGAAAGACTCCAGTCTGTTACTTTTTGCTAGACTGTTTTTTTAAAAAACCCAATTACTTAAACCTCAGGAAAAAGATCAGACAAAATGGCTGTGTGCTGATACAATGAAAATAGCTGAAGAAAGGAGGAAATCAAAAGGCAGTAAAGGAAAATCTGCCCAGCTAGATGCTCAATTCCCGAGAGGAGCATGAAAGACAAAGAAATATACTAAATATACTGTACCTAAATAAGCAATGCAAAAAAAAAAAAATTGAGGATAAAAAAATCAAATGGGAAGGTCAAGAGATTTAAGATAATTGTAGAAATCAAGGGTTATTTTTTATGCAAAAATGGGCATGATAAAACATAAGGAAGGCAAAGATTTATTGGAAAAAAGACTATATGAAGAGATGGCTATATGGAAGAATTATATAAAAAAGACCCCGAGATCAATGATACATAAAAGGCTTGATCACTAAACTAGAGCCAGACATTCTGGAAAATGAAGTTAAATGGACCCTAGATAATACTGCTAACAGTAAAGCTGCAGGAGTTGATGCAATACCAGCAGAACTGTTTAAAATATTACAGGATGATGCAGTTCTAGTGCTTGTTTATAAACAGGAATGGAAAACACAGCAATGGCTATAATGGGAAAGATTTACCTATTTATTGCTTGTTAAATTTATACCCAACCTTTCACTAAGGACTCAAGGCAACATATTTCAGTACCAAGGGGGGAGGAGGAAGAATGCTCAGATTACTGAACAATTCCACATCTCACATGCTATTAAAATAATGCTCAAGGTTTTGCTGTCCAGACTTCAACCATACATGGAATTAGAACTGCCAGATGTACAAGCAAGATTCAGAAGAGGAAGGACACTCAAGATTATGTTACTAAATTCTGATGGATAATAGAAAAGACCAGGGAATTCCAAAAACATATATATTGTTAGTTTACTGGATATACAAAGATTTTTGACTGTGCAGATCACAGCAAATTATGGGTGGCCCTTACAGCATTGATACACTGGTCACCTCAACTGCCAATTGAATAATTTGTCTGATGACCAGGAAGCAAGTTAGAATGTAATAAGGAACAACTAATGGGTCAAAACTGGAAAAGGAATATGTAAAAGTTGAATATTGTTGTTTTATTTATTGAACTTAACAAAATAAGGTACAGGTCCTATTCTTAAAAAAATGCCATTTGGTGCACCTAGGTGGTCTACCTCCTCTATCATGGTACCTGCCCTTTGGAATAGTATCTCTCCTGAGATTCAAATTGCCTGCACCCTATGACCTTCAAACAGGCCTTAAAGACCTGGCTGTTTCTCCAGGTGTTCGATCAGAAGCATGTGCCTTTGGGAATTTTTACTTAGGTGTGTTTTATTTTAGTCCCCGATTTATTGCCTTATCTTATATTATTTTATAATATAAAAATATTAGGTATATTTTTAAAGGTATACAATCCAGAGTCACTGCCTATAAATGTGAGCTATAAATAAACAAATAATATAATAGAAAAAATGCTAAACTAGAAGAAATAGTAATTTCAGTGAAAATTATTGGGAATTATTGTTACTTTCCAAACAATTTTAATATGCTGATAATGCCATTTGGATAGCTGGAAATGAGGAACATAATTCAGGAGCCAGAGTTTGCTTAAGAAGCCCCACAGAAAAACAAAGCATCATTTTTTACCCATTAATTTTATTACTTGTTAATTTTATACTCCATCTTGCCTCCAGATCAAAGCAACATACATACTGTAGCCCTCTCCATTTCTTCAATCCTGTGAGGTAGACTAGGCTGGGGGAGAGGTTCAGATCACCTAATGAATTTTCCAAGTGAAAGTGGGCTTGAACCTGAATTACTGTAATTACTCCATCCCACTGTTTTTCATGTTTTTCCAAAAAGACAGTCTGGTTTGTGAATACACAATGGCCAATCCGAACTGCTCTACTGAGAGCAAATAGCAGTTGAGCTAGAGAGCCAAAGTCTCTACATGTTGGAAAAGGGATGTAGATGTGTCTGTTTCTTCAACACACTGCAGACAGTTGCACATTATGAACAGTGGGAGAGATTTACCTGGAATCATTCACCATAAAATCATAATTTATTTTACTCATGGTTTGTTGACCAAGCTGTAGTAACCTAGTTAACATACTCTGCTATAAGTCATGGCTTACAAATCATTACAGTATGGCTGAATGCACAATGTTTGATTTGTGAATTCTAAGTAAATTCTAAGTAAAAATAAAACCAGTGTGGTTTTTAATAGTCCAGTGCGGTTTTTAATCGTTCAGTACGGTTGCGCAATTCCACGTACTTGGTTTAATTTAATAGACCACCGTTTAAGAAACACACACACGAGCGCTCTGCAAATTCGGTCTAGCTGTGCGCGATATTTGAGCCCAGATGGAGTCAGAAAAACCCGAGAGAACTTGCCGGCAAACGTCTGATTTTTGTTTTGCTTTCTCCTTAATTACAGTCTAGAAACATCGGCTAGGCGCTTCCTTATGCCAGCCCCCTCATGTACTGTTTAGAGCTTTCAATTCATGGTAACAATACCCCTGAGAACATATTCGCTAGTGCACGGTGCTAAGCTCCCGGGCCCTTTGTTTCTCAATGTTCTTTAAACAATAAAACAAAAATGAATGAGAATCTAGCCGCGCTGAGACCAGGGAAACTAAAGCACCCATTTCTGCCGACTGCTAGTCCGTATAAACACGCTGCCGCCCACCTTCTTCAGGAGCGCGCATCCTCTGGGCCCGCCCCTCCGGGTGCTCTTTAGGCCCGCCCAAAGCAGTGCGCGGGCACGGTAAGGGGCGGGCCAGGCGCGTCTATCCCAGGATTGTTTTCCGGTCTTGGAAAGTCAGGGCGAGGGCGCCGAGGACGCGCGGAGAGAGCGAGCGAGCGGGGCAACCCCTTGCTTGTTCCAGTCGCCATGGGTTTCTTGCGGCGCTTGTTTCTGCTGTGCCTCCCGCTGCTCCTCTCGACGCTGAGTAGCATCGTCCTGGGCACTCTGGCGACCGCGGGGCAAGGAAGTAAGAGGAGACTCCGGAACTGCTGTGGGACGTGGGCGGTTGAGGCGGCGGTGAGGGCCGGGGGACGGTCTGGGAACGCTGTTGGAGCAGTTGCGAGGCTCTCGTGCAGTTTGTGCCACCGCTTCGGCTTTTCCTCGCTCCGGCCATGAATCTGAGTTTGAGAATCTCTTGCGATGCTCCTCTTTCTTCTGTGCTGCTGGCTTGGAAACAGCGGCCCAAAGGCGATTTAGCATGGAAGAGCAGAACAGGTGCCGCCGCTTTGAGAGAGAGCTCTGGGCGTACTTTGGGGAAGGGGGGAGAGGGCGCCACCCTTGTGGTCTGGTGCCCGGACCCTCTGTGTTTGCCGCGATATGGGTGTTTGGGTGAGAGAGGAGGTGAAAGAGAAACCCATAAATCAAGAGTGGACAACCTGTGGCTCTGCAGATGTTGGACTAAAGCTCCCAGCATCCCTCGCTGTTTGGAATTAATGGGAGTTGCAGTTGATCAGCATCTGCAGAGCTGCGTATTTGTAGTCCAGAGCTATGATGTTCAATCTGTTACATAACTATTGAATTGATTTAAAAGATGTTTCATGATTTTTCTACTGTATTTTCTACTGTCTTCCCCACCCCATTTTTAAAATTCTAATAACTATGAAAGTGACCCATAACAAGAAGCATTCTAAAACACAATACCCCCTTTTCCCATTGTATAGGAGCTGCAAAGTATGTTGTTGCTTCAAAACTTTTACACCCATGAATATTTCAATTGAATAATTAAAACTGCAAACTTATACTTGCCTGAACTCAGTGGATCTTTCTTCTGAGAAAAGCATGAATAGGACTGCAGTCTGAGATGACTTTAAGCTGATGATAGCTTTAGACCAGTGTTGTCCAAATTTGGCCACTTTAAGATGAGTGGACTTCAACTCCCAGAATTCCCCAGCCAGCACGACTGGCTAGGGAATTCTGGGAGTTG